TTATACCCCTTGCATTTTGTAACCATCACCTAAATGTTTACAGCACTGAGATATTCTGAGTCACTGTGCACACAATGTGGGATTCAGAGAAGTACTGTAGGGAGATAACAGAACCAAGTGGAAAGCCAAATGCCACCAGGCGACCATGCTAAAAGCCTCGCTGATAACCTTTTCTCTTCAGTCAGACTTGATAATAAAATATTAAAAATGCCCCCCCCCAAAAAAAGTTTGTTTGGTAAAGCACGTGGGCAGGCTGTTGGCTTCGTGTTTCAAAAGCTGCCAGAGCGGTGTGACTTTTTATCGAGAGCACTGGCAGTTGTCTTGTACAGTTTGTGTGCCTGATCCGATGTGTTCTCTTAGTCAGCACCTTCTGCTCCGGCTTGTGCCTCGTTAACTCAAATGTGTCATTATTTTTACACTTCCACACACCGACACCTGGGACAACGCAGCCCCATGTGTTGGGCAGTGGATGTAAATAAGGAAAATACATCCATTTAGAGATTCGACTTTTTGTTGTTGTTGTTGTTGTTTTGTTTAAAGACAAATAAGAAGAACACATGGGATGATTTATGGCAAAAAATGTGACCAAAATAGCAGATTTTAACCAAATACATTATCAGAGCATAATATTAATTATCTTGTAGCAGTGCTGCCCTCTGCTGGACAAGTAGGAGTAAAACAAAAACATTGCCAGACAATCATTAGGCTCCATGGAGACACACTGTACATGGTGATCCAGTTTCTATCTCCCAAGAATTTTACACACACATGCAATCAATCAGAAAGCAATCACACACGCATTTAATTAAATGCATTAATTAAAATTGTGTCCCCGTGCGTGTATGTTTGAAAAAGGTAGGTCAGAGGGAGGGGTAGAGCTTAATGGCTTATCAGGACCCTGACTAGCCCGTGCGATTGTGTGTGTGTGGCCGGTGGTTACTGAGCCATTGGCCTAATTTTTTGGCTGAAGACCGGTAGTCTACAGTCATGCACTCCTCCCATCAGCTGAGTGACTATGTGTTCCTCTTTCTTCTTTTTCATAATCAGACTTCATCATTGTCCAGTCTGGCATCAGAAGGCCTCTTTTGCTTCTCGGCTATTTTTCTCATCACTCCTGTCAAGTTTATTGAGCCGCCTGCGTTATTCCCCGTTCACCTACTGCCTCCCCCCTCCACCCACCTCCACTCCCAACATTCAAAGAGCTGAGAGGAGGTCCGCGAAGGCTCTCCCCGTCTGTCTCTCCTAATCTCTCACACACAATCTCTCCCCCTCGCTCTCTTGCCAAACCCCTGCGCACAAGATGAGGTTCAGAGAGTGTTGCTTTAGGAACGTGACTTCCTCACAAGGCAATGAAACTCCACCGCCGCCTGGACATTTTTCATCTGCCTTCATATTCAGGTATTCAGGCGCTGCAGAACACGCTAATATTTGCATGTTGGTTCGTCTGCAGCGACGTGGGAGAGCTGCTTCAGCAGGAAGCTCAGGCACACTGGTGAACCTTTGGTTTTTTGAAAGAAAGAAAATAGGCTTTTTTTTTTTTCTTTCTCAAAAATTCATCAGCATCTAAGGGCATCCTTTGAGGTTTGTGTTTTCTGTTCTTCTGCAGATGTTGGTTAGTTTGTTTTTGCTCGCTTCAAAGTAGCTTGTTAGCTTGATGGATTTTAATGTGTGGCCCCCCCCCCAGTTTTTAATGAGGCATGCTCATAAATGCTAATGAGCGTACAGTATTAACATAAGAGTGTGAGTGAGAATGGAAACATAACATCTGATCCCTGATTGGTCTGTCTCCCCTTGTTGATGTCGAGATGCACAGTGCATTTCGGAATATAAACAATTTTTCAATAATTTTTCGTGGCGGTTAGCAAGTGAAATCTCCAAAGCCGCTGCTCGTGAATCATGATTTAATCATGGCCCATCAGCTACACTAATACGGAGCTCTTAAAATGCTACATCCCAGGAACTGGCTCTTAAATTCAGATGAACAGCTTTAGAAAGTCTTGGAAAAAAAAAAGAAAAATTAAAAACTGTTCCCACTGAGTCTATTTTTAGACCGTTGTGCTTTTTAGTTGAAGCACATCTATGGACTAACAGATGGGCTCACCACAGTAGCCTGGATTTCATCCCTGTAAAACTGTTTAAGAGGTTGTTTTTGTCAATGATTGTGCTTCTCTGTCAAACCACGGCAAAAGGCCACCAGGAGTTTAGCTGTTATTTGAGTCTGGAATGCCTTTAAATTCAGTCCGGGTAACCGCAGAGTATTGGCTGCCTAACCGCAGCCTCTTTCCTCTTGTCCATTCAGTATGTGTTGAAAATGCCAAGAGAAAGAGTAGTGGGTGAGATCTGTGCCTGTGGAACAACATGTGCCTCGGTGGAGCGGAGCCTGTTCTCGCCTGTCTGCTGCTGCTGTTGCACAGTCCCTATAAATTAGAATACTGAAAGAAGTGGACTGACGAGTCTCCCCTTTCGGAAAACAAAGCAAAACAAAAAACAGTCGCCCAGCCAAGGCAGTTGTGATGAATCTTGGCCAGCAGCAGTTATGGTTGGCTTCTACACAGAAGCATGAATGAATTTGCGTCTGGAGTGTATTTACACTCCCCATCGTCTCCTTTCTCATGCGGACTTCTCGGCCCCACAACCCGCGTTCTGAATCTGCTTTTCTTCTTCGGCCTTCTTTCTTCAACTTTTCTCTTGTTTGCTGCCTTGTTTCATTTCTCTTACTTTCTCATATCTCTATGAAAAAAAAAACCTCGAGCTTGCATTTTAGGAGCCTTCCCTATCGCGCTGTGGGAATGAAGCTGAGGAGGAGATGGGCAGCAGCGAGCAGCCTCACTGCCCTCAAACGACCCCACGGGTTAGAGATCCTGCTTTGGGATCAAGGCAGCTCTTGGGTTTTATGTGGGAACGGTTTTTCCTTTTTTTCTCCTTTTTCTTACCTAACTCCTCATCTGACCTCTCTTCATTTCCACGTCTGTGGCCCACTTTGCTTCATGTCTTTATCTTACGTTCTCACTCGAGGGCTTTTCTCTACATCCTTGCCTCTTATTTCCTTTGCTCTTCTCAGACTTTTGTTTGTCCATTTTTTTTTTGTTATCATCTCTGTCCTGAGCTGCTGTATCTAACAGACGGAGCTTTAAGGCATTATTTTTCCACACTCCCCTGTAGATTTACTGTTATTTTTAGTTCTAGCAATTTTTCTTTCCAGTGCCAAATCACAAAATACAATATTTACAAAGTTTTTGTTTGCGTTTGTTCGACTTCCTACATGCGTGATGATACACTGGCGCATGTGGAATAGATTTTGCAGCGAGCTTGGGCGGGATATACGGGCACATTGTAAACAGTGCATAGTAAACTGCATACCTTCCATCATTGCTGTTATCACACCGTGTTACAGTATGTGTCATGTCCGTGCGAGAAGCAGCAGCCCGCAGCGCCATTAATTTAACCTTCACGTAAACATCTGTCCGGTCTGAAGCTGAGATGTTACACAGCGTACGCTAGAACTTGAAGTTCACTTGGGATTTTTGGAAAAATACGTACTAGCTCTTAATCCTTACATAATTGCTTACCTTCCTGTGCTCTGGCTATAATAAAGAAAACATGTTCAAGAGGAAAGTAATGCTGCTGACAGGTTTGTGGTTTTAAAATTGGATTTATACTTGATGTAATTAATGCAAGCAGTTAACAACGAGCCTATCATGGACACTTAATGTTTACTTTTTTTGATTTATAGCTGAATGTTCTTTCTTTGGTAGCACCCCGCAAACAGTTCACTGATCCGTTGTCATAATCAGGCCGTGTAGTGTTTTGATTATTTAACCCAGTGTAACTGTAGGGACTCTAATGGTGAGAAGCTCTGCCTTATCTCGATGCTAAGTAGGAGACTTTTCCATGCAGTCACTGTTCACACATCTACGTTACGTCACTGGCTGTGGAGTCAGCGAGCGGAAGGCTTTGCTGGGTGTCACCATGTTTTCTTTACAACCGGTTTTCGAAAACATGCGAAAAACAAACACAATGCTGGTCAATTACAGTTCTCTATTTATTTTTTAAAGAGGCGTGTGCCAGCCGTGGTGGATCCAGGGATGCACAAAATTGGACATCTGCTAATATTTTCCAGCTCATTTTGGTGAACGCTAATAATAACGTAGGCACATATTTTTGTCTACCTAATTGCAGAGGACATCAAGTTTCCCCTGTAAGTGGGTTGAACGTATTATTATTATACCTTCCCTTAGTATGATGATGATGATGATGCAGACATGTTATATAATGTTTCTCAAGTGTACACAACCACTGGGCGAAATAAGTAATATATTTATTTGTATGCAACGTCTAAACATCGACAGGCGTCATCTGCTGTTCATTTTAGGCTGATGTGTTTCATTTTAAAGCTTTTACTGGCTGATATCTATGATTCTGCTTCCATTCTGCATCCCTATACCACCTACGAGGCAGAGCCAGCTGATATGGTGCCCTATAACACACATAAATGAAGATTTAGCTTTTATTATTTAAAAAAAATTCCATTCTAGGATCCACAGTTTAGTCGTGTGTTTGTTTAATCTCTGGAAGCCATTCTGATTGAGACGATTGTTTTGTTTAACTGACTGCGTACAGAAACCTCACATTTCTTTACAGGGTGTTGTGTTGTGCCAAATAAAATGTTTACAGGGAGGCTTTGGAACAGCGCAGTGATTGGCTAAATTAATACGTTTAGTCACTTAAGCACACATCCCATTAGTTTCAACAATGGCCGTCCAGAAGCATCAGTTATTGGAACCAGTCAGCGAGCGGATGGAAAATTCAGCTCATGTGGAAACAGGGATAAACAGCAGCACGAGTCCAACGCTCAGACCTTACCTTGACCCTCATATCTGCCACTATTCAGTCCCGTGTCACCGCAAGTGTTTCACTGTGTGTGTTTCTAATCTTTGACAGAGTTCTCGGTGAGTCATAGCCTCTTCTTACTTGGAAATTCTTCTCTTTCTCTCCATCAGGTTATTTCCAATCACAGGCGCACAACAGACCCAAAGGTGAGTAATTTTTTTTTTTTCTACTTTTTCCACTTCCACTCCCTTTTCTGGACACACAAAACATTTGTTGTGGGTTAATAAAGACTTTTTGTAAACCATTTTACAAAAAAAACAAGCATAACTTTCAGCTATAAATCAGTCACAGCTACGATCATTTTAGCCATTAGTGGGCGCAGTGTGGCTTAAATCAGGGGTGTCCAATCCTGGTCCTCGAGGGCCACAATCCTGCTTTAGATGCTTCCCTCTTCCAACATACCTGATTCAAATGATCAGGATCGTTATCAGGCTTCTGCAGAGCTTGATGATGAGCTGATCGATTGAATCAAGAGGGAAGCATCTAAAACTTGCAGGATTGTGGCCCTCGAGGACCAGGATTGGACACCTCTGGCTTAAATTGTATTTGGCGCATTTAATGTTTTGGTACCATCACAGATGCAATTACAGAAGTCAACCACTAGAGGGAGGCAGAGTATTTCTGACAGTTGCCTCTCACTGCTACACTTGGTGAGCCTTGTGAGAATATGTGCACCACAAATGGAAAGATTAGCGTAGGAGGAGTGAGGTGACAAATTATTTTAACGTTGCAAGAGAGAATATTTTTCATAATAGAGGGTTTGAATATCAGATGTGTGTGTTTGTGTGTGTGTGTGGCAGAAAATACTAGAGTTGTATTTAGTGTAAACACGTGGTTTCAATGCAGAAACTGTTTGTGTAAAGAGAGACATCACACAGCATGTGATGAGCTGACATCCACAAGTTGCAGGTGGAGGCTGTTCTAGCTTGTTGTTGATGTCAGTTGCTTCGACGAGGGATGAGACAGGTGAGGAGTTTGCTTTCTGCTCCATCTGAAAACAGGAGTCTCTCTCCCCAGCTAGTCCCCTCCTTCTTTCTCACACTCTACTCCATCGCCTCCCCTCTCTGACTACTGATAGGGCAGACATGGAGTCAACAGTGGAGGGAAGCAGCGAGAGGAGGAGGAAAGGGAGGGAGGGACGGAAAGAGAGTTCGGATATGAGGGAAGGACCAAAGTAGAAACAAAGAAACGCTGCAGGTGTGTGGAGTTGAGCGTTCTGTACGTCATTAGCTCGACAACACTAACTGGACAGAGAGCGCCGCCGAAGTGAAGGGCAGGTAGACCACGTGTTCGCTGTGAGATCGCAGCAGCCGAAGTTTCATTTCGTCCAGGTTAGTTTAGAGCTGAGTTAATTTTTATTAAGCGTAGACCAAGTCATGGCCCTTCTTACCAACGGCGCGCAGAACCTTGGCTCCTACTACTGCCTGATCCGACGCAGATTCAAGAGGAGGCGCAAGAAACGCTCCGAACGCAAAGGTAACCCTCAGAGTGGAAGTTCACAGATTGAGATGGATGCTGAGCTGGCTTTGTTGTGAAGATGAGGCTCGGGGATTTGTGCATTTGCCGTAATAAACCGTTTGTTTCACTCCTCTGTCGATTTTCGAGTTGTTAATAGCGTCTGCAGACTGCTGTGAAATCTGTTCTTGTTTCTGTGTGCAAACAATTAGGGTGCGAGATACAGTTTAAAAGCTTTTGACTCCACACAGTGTGCCTTTGTTTCCTGTGTGTGAGTGTTATTAGTGCGGCTGTGGATGTCAGCTGAACTTCAAACACCTCAAATGGTTTATTTTTTTGCTTGTTACTGGTTTTTACATGTGGAGATATTATCTAGAGCTCATTTTAAAGTTGGCTAAAATGAGCAAAAAAGCCACTTCCCACTGAAAACAATGCATGTTGTTAAAATATTTTCAAGGTTTTATAACAAAAATGTGTATTTATTGGACAATTGCTGCAAAGAGCATCATGAAGCAAAGGTTGTATGATTTAAATATGACTTTTGAGTGATTGATATCCCTTTGTCGTTTGTCTTTAACTGTAAATAAATATATTTACAGTTAATATATATTTTACATTTCAAGTATATGTTGGCAAACATATTTAATCCTATGTTTCTTACATTCGTTTAATTATTGGCCATATATATTGCATGTAAATTGACATATACAACAGAAGAAATGTTATTGTTTTATATGAAAATCAAACATCATATGACCTTAAATGTAAAAAAAAAATGAAATTAAATGAAAAATATGATATGAACACTATTAGAAAACATAATTTTTGTTTGTTTTTTATGTTTTATTCCTTCTGTATTTTAGCCTTTATCGACATTAGACAGTAGAGACGGATAGGAAACAACATTTAAAGAGAGCCTGGTACAAGTCAGCCTTCTGCTGTTTATTATTGTGACTTTCCTCTTTCAAGCTTTTCCGTTTAATTCTTTATAAAAACCACACTGCAAAAGTTAAGGTTACCAAAGAAAGTCTAAATCTGGAGCTCCATGATTTGTTTAAACAAGCATTTTTGTGTGATTGTGCTTCCTGCTTAGTCCTTAAGTTCATAGCACAGTTTTTTGGCGAATTATTTAAATCTGTTCAGACGGTTTCCTCTTTGCCCCCCTCTCGCTCGCTCTCTCTCTCTCTCTCGCTCTCTCTCTCTCTCTCCCGGACTTAGACAGGTCCGGGTCTCTGTGTAATTGAAGTCGAGTGACGGGAGCTCCACAGAGACTCTAAGCTTTTCTCTCCTGAGTTTGCTGCTCTGCTCTGGGGATTAGCCTAACAGCAAAGGTAGTAATTACTTAGGTGGCCACAGCTCACTGGCAGTATTAGCCATGTCTCAGCCACTTGCTTTGACACCCACCGCCCTCCATGCCCCCACTCTCGTAGAGTCGAGTCCATTCATCCAAGTAAATCCACCACTGCTGATGCTGCGTTTTTAGCCTCCGATTTGCACACTCGGGCCCCCGCTCCGCTCAGAGAGTGACTACGTCCATCAGCATTACACAGGTCTGTTTCCCGCCTTTTCACTCTCGCTTATCACCACGGGAATGAAAGTGGCACTTTTTCACCATACTGAGAAAAAGCGATGACTAAGCGGGACTTGTGGGCTAATGTTGCTCCCTCAGTCGGCTTTAATGCCCCGAACTGGAAGCCCCCCCCGATAAGTTGCTTTGTGCTTGAGTTGGACAGAATGCCCGGTGGGTTAACAGCTAATGCTAGCTGAGATGATGAGGTCGCACACTTGAGACAATCATCAGAAGAATAATTCGGCACTGAAAATTCTCTTTGCTCAGTTTCCTCGACGGCGACGGCGGGGTCGGCTGCGCACCACTGGACTGGACAGTCCATTAAGTGTAGATCAGTGTCTTCCACAAGGACACTACAACATGTCGATACGAGGGTTGGCGAGGGTCAGCAGTTTGAGGAGCCATCTTTCCATAGCCAGCACTGCAGTCCCAGACTTTGCGCTCTATTATTTTTCAACCATAGTTTCTTTCGCTTAAGTACATCGGCTTATTCCAAGAATGAGTTTGCAGAGTTTTGTGTATCTATTGTCCTAAGGCCCTCATCAAGTCGACACATGTTCATCCTAGTGATTTGACTGGCACATGGATGCTTTGCTGACATCGAAGGTCATATAAAAAAAGCACATCCTTGTCTAAATCCGTTGGTGTAATTTGTCTTCCAGTCCAGTCGCTCTTCACTTCACCGCAGACATGTGGGCTTGTCACAGTAGGAAAGGCACAGGTGTTTCTAATGACATTAACAACGGCTCTGTTCTGTTCCCAGTTAACCATGACCATGAGCCAAACACGCACAATGCCAGGACCCTGAACCTGAAACTCCTAAATTGAATTTAGCCATCATTAATTTTATTATTTACACCTGTGCTTTGCCCACTGCGACGTGGCCAAATGTGAGTCCGGAAAACGCCCCATTTAGGAGAACATAAAAGGCCTTACGCGGGTCTTTTTGGTTTCTAACTGATTGGAGATGGGTCGCTGTGGTGGGAATTCTGTCAGGAGTAAAACTGTCATTTTGTCCCACCGTAAACATCGCAATAAAGCTAATTGGAGACTGAGGTGGATGTCAGTCATGCGTGGTGTGTTCACACCCGTGTTGTTCTGAGAAAAATCTAATTGGACAAAATATGTAGAAACACTTGGAAATAGTGTTGAGCTGTCCAGGTCTGTTTATTGTAAATTGGGATCAAACTAGGGGATTATAGAGCTTTTGCTGTGATGGTGCCTCACTTGTAGGTTTAAAAGTTAAGCTCTGCTGCTGTTAGTCATATTCTAGACGCTGATCTGAATCAGTAAGGAAACTTGTACGTAACAGTATTTCCCTTAAATCACACTACAAGCGTAAAGTAGTGAAAGTTAAGTACCTTACAAGTGTGGTATATATAATTAAGTGTTACTTACATGGTGCCGCAGGTATTAAATCTTCTAATCTGATTTGTTTAAGCTTGAAATGAACTAATTGATTTCCCCAACAACAGATAAAGCTCGTTAATTCCAATAATTCCATGTAGCTGTGTCACATTCAGGGTTCTGGATATCAAGATATCAGAGATTTTGTCGTTAACATCACAGAATTTCCACAATTCTTGATACCAAATTCTACACCAAAATAGTAAATCAGTCAAATAAATGCATTTCAGATTTGACGCCCCTTTGCCTTCTGGCTTTAGTTTTGTCAGTAACTTGTCGCTGATTATCTGACTCAAACGTTAAATGTCTTCATGCACCGCACCGTGTGGCTTTTGTTTTGTTTTTCATACATGTCACAGCACAACTGCACTTGCTGCTGCTGTTCCACATGTTGTCCAGCATCTCTAGAACTTACAGCATCTGTGGTTCCTTTGGTATCAACAAAACTGTGTAGTTTTCAGGATTTTGATGTTGTGTTTGGTTCCAAAGTTTCTAATCTTGTGACAGATGCTTACATTTCAATAAAACCATTAAATTGTTAATGTCAGTATAAATATCTGTGCTTTTCCCACAGTGATGGATCAAAATGAAAAAATGTGATTGAATAGGATTTGCTGTGTATATGTCACAACTCTTAATCATTAGGATTATTCATGTTTATTTCCTCTTCTTATAGTTTTGTTTTTAAATTGTCAGATTTTTAGTGACTTGGTC